TTCTCGATTTAGGGGGTGATCCCACGCATTTGGACATTTTACTTCGCCAATTCCGCAATTAGGGTGACGAATTTTACTGAAATAGTGGAACTGGGAAAGAACAAATGATTCTTTTTCAGGGAAAAAGGAACAAATAATTTTTGGTTCCCCTGGTTAATTTGGATATGAATTGATGCTATCACATACTGTAAATACCATGTCCATGTGTATCTCTTTCTCTCACTGGATACAGAAAAACAGAGACCACACTTGAACTATTCCGGCATATATCCATGGTGCCCCCTGTGTTACACAGCCGCAGTTCACTGGGAGAGACGACTAATTTGTTGTCTCGCAATGCAGGGTGCCCCAACGGATGGTTACAGGAGCTCGCTGAACCAGGGAAACAACGGCACATTTTGGGACGAGCGTCAAGTCTGTATCCCAGCTGAGGAGCAGCAGTCGCCAGCTGAACGGTCTACTCGATCCGTGAGATCAAGGGGCAGGAGAACGAAAAATTTCAGCGATAAGGAGGACAATATGTTGGTGTTGGCATGGCTGAATATCAGCATGGAAGTAGCACCAGGGAACGAGCAAGTTCGTTCTTATTGGCAGAGGATATATTGTTACTTCCACCGGAACAGGAACTTCGAGTCAGATCGCAATCAAAATTCCCTCACGCACCGTTGGTCTACCATTCAAGAACATGTTCAGAAATTCTGCTGGTGTTATGACCGGATCGGGTGTAAAAACGGGATCACGGAGGAAGAAAGGGTATGCACCTATCGCTTTAATCTGCTTGTAATTTCACATGTTCCATACAATTTTGTTAAGGCATATGCATACTTGCGCAGATAGTTCAGGCATTGGGAGTGTACAAATCAGAAGAGAAGAAAGCGTTTGGTTTCTTGCATTGTTGGAATACCTTACACGCCCATCAAAAGTGGACTGATAGGTTGTCTCAGAAAAAACAGAAGACAACCTCCAATTCAAGTCCGGGTACATTTCCTCTTGGAACCAACTCAATTCGGCTTGACGATGAAGCGGAGGCTCGTAGTCCAAAAAATGAGGACTCGGGCTCGGACGACGGAGGGGACTGTGGGCACGAGCTCCAGGTTCAGGCCATGGAGTGCGCCCTCCAGGAGCAGCCTCTCGACCACAAGCCCCACCTTCAGGTATACCATCCCCCGTCTCACCCTCTCTTGGGCACACTGCCATGCCCTCATCTCACTGAACAGCTAGGGCTTTGATCAGGTTTTCTGATGCACAAGTTGATGCGAGCTTTATGGCGGTGCCTACCTTCACACTGCATTTTTTACTAGGATGTGCTCTTACACATTTGGACCTTTTTCGGTGGTAGTTTTGCCATTAGGGTGACGAATTTCCCTTACTGGTTCATATGGCCTCCTGGAAGGCCTGGAGTAGAGCTCACAGAGAAATAGGGGAATGCAAAATTTGCTTGGTTTTAATTAATTTGGATAAGAGTTGACGCTATCACACCAAAACTACGTGTCTCTCACCCTAACTGGACACAGACAAGAGATTATAATTGAACTATTCCAGCAAATATTCATGGTGCCGTCTGTTATGTGGCAGCAAGAGAAAACTAATTTATTATTTTGCGATGCAGGTTGCCGCAATGGATGGTTATACCTATAGGAGCTTGTTGAATCAAGGAAACAAGGAACCATTTTGGGATGACCGTCAACTTGGTAGTAGCTCAGCTGAGGAGCAACAATCGCCAATTGAACAAGCTATTCAGTCCATGCCAACGAACATCAAGAGAACAGAAAATTTCAGCGATAAGGAAGACTATATGTTGGTGTTGGCATGGCTAAATATCAGTATGGATGCAGCACAAGGGAATGAGCAGACTTGTTCTACTTACTGGCAGAGAATGCATTGTTACTTCCACGAGAACAGGAACTTCGAGTCAGATCATAGTCAAAATTCTCTCTTGCAGCGTTGGTCAACCATTCAAGAACACGTAGAGAAGTTCTGTAGATGTTATGACCGTGTTGGGCATAGAAGCGTGGTGACAGACAAAGATAAGGTATACACCTATCTCTTTAATATGTAGTTACATTTGTTTTGTGTAATTTAACAAGACATACTTGCACAGATTGTTCAGGCATTGGAAGTGTACAAGGCAGAAGAAAAGAAAGCATTCGCTTTCTTGCATTGTTGGAATACCTTGCAGCTCCATAAAAAATGGACTGATATGTTATCTCAGAAAAAACAGAAGACGACACCCAATTCAAGTCCAGACACGTCCAACTCAAGTTGGCCTGATGGTGAAGCGGAGGTTCCTACTCCAGAAAATGAGCCTTTGGAAAGACCAATAGGTAGTATGGCGGAGAAAGAACAATTACAACCTTGTAAAAGTTCTGTCTCTCCAAATGATAATATTTACATGGAAGCGGCAAATCATCTGTGGTCAAATAAGAGAGTGGCGGAGAGCGTGAAAGAGCTCAAGGAAGATGAGCACTTTGAACAAGCATGTGCACTAGAAGAAGAGAGGATTGCAAATGGAATAGACATGATAGCACACAAGAGAAAAAAGCTTGAAGTAAAAGAAAGAGAGTTAGAATTCAAGAGAAAGAAGCTGGAAGTAAGGGAAAGAGAGTTAGAACTTCAGAGAAGGTTGGAAGATGCGAGAATAATGGATATGGATATTAGTGCTATGACTGGGCGACAACAACAGTTCTACATGAGCTTGCAGAATGAGATCATTGCTCGACGATGCAATAGGTCGAAATGAGCTGCTTCATTGTCTTGACTTCAATGTTGTTTCGTTGTACGTAGTATTATCTTGTATGAACTTTTAGGTGGGTAGATGCTTTTTGTTGATAAAATTATTGCCTGACTAGCTTAATGTTGATTGGCCTGATTAGTTGATAAATCTCTTGTATGCTTTTGGTTTTCTGTTGTTCTGTTTTGTGACAGACTGATTGGTCTGAGCTTTGTGGTTGTTATCTACGCACTAGTGTTTTCCTTTTCAGTTAGTACAATGTTTGAAAAAAAATCGGGGGATATCGATAAGGTTCGTGCCTCTCGCACCAAATATATGGCGGGGTTGGCCGAAGGATGAGATCTCACTGAGCTTTGGGTTTGTGATTCTTCTCTCTTGAAGCGCTTTCCTGAAATAATTATGTTATCTGCACTAAAACCTTTCTCCTGTCTCTGTTGCTAAATTCCTGAAAAGCTCTATGAACGTGGAGTGCAAGAATATCTGGTATGCCATACTGTTTTTTGTGGAGTTGAGTTTAGATTGTTGATCACCTGGAGTGCTAACTTATCATGTTGATTGCAGCAGCGGAGCATTAATCTATTTTGTGGGACTTCCTTGGTTCTGCTGAGGAGCATGATCAGTCAGTGTCATGATGGTCACAATCTGTTCTTTCAAAAATGAGGGATTTGTAAGAGCCTGCACTCACTCAGGGGGTCTACATGTGACAAAATGGCAGCTAACTCTGGGAAGCCTACATGGGATCAACTGGGCAACATGGCTGGATCCGATGCTAACAAACTGCAAGGGTTTCTGGTATGTCGAAGTTACTTTATTATATCTGCCTAAGCTTAACTTTGGACCTATTGCATAGTTTCTTTGCAATCTATCAGAGCCCAACGTAATTACTCTCTGATGCCAGCAGCGTAAAAGCCTAATATCAGTGCCCAGTCCTGATGGGAAATGACGGCAGGACTACATTTAGTATAATCACCATAGTCAACAAAACCAAAGTCTTTTCATGCTCCGCTTTGAGCTTTCAAAGTCCAACAAGGTCAAACAGTCATGGTATAAGTGAATGGAGGGAACGTGAGTCTGGTTCTTAGGTTTTCTAGTGATCATTAGAGGGGTGAGTGATTTGAATTCTGAAGTTAATCAATGGATAGCAGGACTAACTCAATGCCCAATCTATTAAATTCAATTAATCGGTTTGTTAAAAACTGTGGGTAACACGGTGGAGCAGAGGTAGCAAAGACTGAAGAAACCAGCCCATGCTTTTTGTACGAGTAAAGATCGCAGGTCCTCCGACAATGTGTGTAATCAACCACCCCTAGCTTTGACCGTCAGTATGTTGATGACGAAGGACACACTAATAAGTAATGAGTAAATTGTTTCTTGGTAATCTGTCCCCTTCGCTGGACCGAGAATTTTCCGCATTATATGACAGTTTGGAGTGACACACGCAGGCAAATGGTGACAAACTGCTACCAACAGAAAGAAAAGAACAGTCATGCGGGAGCTACTACGTTTGAAGAGTATGAAATGCATGACTTGACTCGAAGCCGGAAAGCAGTCCAGAGAACAGTTCAACCTTTGAAAAGTTCTCTCTGTCCGTTCCAGATGTTTTGCTTGAGGTTCTTCTTAGACCAACACCCAAAGGGCCTGTGTAGGACGACTTGCAACTCTCAGCAGTAATTTCATAGAAAGATCACAAAGAAGATGGATGCTGGTGTTACCAGGTCTTGGCGTCTTGGTCGTTCGATAATACCCAGAAGTAAGAAAACGATGGGATGTGTGCACTTTCCAAGTGACACAAGAAGCATTTTGGGGGTCAGTTGGACAAAGCCTCCAGCAGCAAAACATGGTGTTGCTGTTCCTGCTACCAGCAGAGAAACCACAATGCTCTGCTTTGGAAACCACTATGCTCTGCTTTGAAGTTCACGAAAATGGGTCGAAAAACAAAATAAAATGATCGGAGCATTTTTGCCCGCCTGGTAGTCTAGCAAATGTTTCTATTGGTGGGCTTCAAGTTTACCACATGCCTGAGGTGGGAAAAGCAACTGAAAATGTCTACAGAAATGCAAGCATAAACCAAAGACTTGAGGAACCATGCATCTTGACTGCCTGCTGAGTCTATTCACCACAGCCACCGTAATATTTTTCTCACCAAATAGCCTGTCAACCACGGCATGCGTGACCCGGACCATGCAAAATGGTTCCCACTATCTGCACTTTATAAAGGGAACATACTCCTACTGTCCTATACCATTGGAAGCCGCAGGCCAGCAGCAAAATGGTGGCTACTCCCATTCTGCACCACCTCCACATCCTCACGCTCCTCCTCATATGCTCCTGTTCCATGCACGCTTCAGCCAACACCACCACCGCCGTCCCCTGCCTCCCAGACCAAGCCTCGGCCCTCCTCCACCTCAAACATTCCTTCACACATGCAAACCTACCGTCATGGCGAGCTGGAAAAGACTGCTGCCACTGGGAGGGCGTCGCGTGCGACGCAGCCTCCGGAAGGGTCATCTCCCTTAACCTCAGCAACATCGACGCAACGATCCACCGCGTCGACACCGCACTCCTCAACCTCACCTCCCTGAAGAGCTTGAGCCTCACCACCACACGCATTTCCGAGGGGCTCTCTACACTGAGCAAGCTTCCCTCACTGAACACTCTGGAGCTTCATGGGTTGAGCTCCTCGGACCTGGTAGGCCCGGAGCTATCTTCGATTGGCGATATCAGGCAGCTGACATCTCTGCACCTCGAGGGCTATGATTTCTCTCGGTCACAACCCTCTTGGATCGGCAATCTGACGGGCTTGGCGCACCTGCGCATGCACGGTTGCAGTTTCGCCGGGCCAGTGCCTGATCAGATTGGCACTCTTGCAAAGCTGACGCTGCTGGATTTGGAAAATTGCAACTACACCGGGCAATCGGTTCCTTCATGGATTGGAAACCTTACAAGGTTGACAACATTGAGTATCCAAGGTTGCCGGCATTCTGGGTCGATTCCCTCGGCAATCGCAAACTTGACCCGGCTTGAAGTTATACGGCTAGGGAACAACAGCCTTGTCGGTGAGATCCTAACTACAATCTCAGATAATGCTTCTTTTTGTTCCTAGCTAAATGCATATCATGGTTGACACAATTTTCATCTATTTAAATATACAGTATTGCTAAGAAAAGGAAATTACTCTGTTTTTCAACCTGAAACAATGAGGTCACCCCATCTATTTACAGAAAGAGTAAACATTTTTGCAGATTTTTTTTTGTACTTGATATTTTCTAGTTGTGTACTGCTTGCCTAACCACACCTCTAGCGAGTTCACACTTAACATTAAGCTACACTCAAATTGAGACACCTCGCGGTGCTATGACATCGAAATATAGTTTGGTTAGGAAGTTATTTTGTTGACCTTTTTATGACCATAACTCTTTTTCTACTCACAGTGAAACTTTATTTCCAGCTACTATAACCATAGTCTTCAGTAATTTACTTAGCTGAAAACTACCTTTTTTTCGAAAAGGAGGGTTTACCCCCGGCCTGAGGCGATGCACACAGCCATAGCGGAAAACCACATATTCTATTAAACTATTAATTGTACTATTTATCTGTAAATGTTGGTTAATTAATTTTTTGGGGGCATTAGTAGTGTTATTTAAGTTTGTTAGAAATATAGGTTGAATTAGAAGGGGAGCCTTGGCGCAGTGGTAAAGCTGCCGCCTTGTGACCATGAGGTCACGGGTTCAAGTCCTGGAAACAGCCTCTTACAGAAATGTAGGGAAAGGCTGCGTACAATAGACCCAAAGTGGTCGGACCCTTCCCCAGACCCTGCGCAAGCGGGAGCTACATGCACTGGGGCTGCCCCCCAGAAATATGGTTGAATTAGCTATAAGAGTATATGAACGCAGTATCGCACCTAAAAATCATGAATTGTTTCAGAAATTAATGGATAATTTACTTCTTTCTTCAAAAATTCGATTGATATTTTTTCATAGATACATCAAGATATGTGTATTAATTTTCTTTTAGAAGCACTGGAACATATTTTGACTAGTACTTGCCCTTTTCATGCAGGGAAAATTCCACAATCGTTGTTCGCTTTTCCAGCATTGAAAGTGCTTTCCCTAAAGAACAATCAACTCTCTGGTCATCTTGAAGACATTCCTTTCCCTCTATATTCATCCTTGTCTACTGTTGAGATAAACGACAACCAGTTAACTGGCCATATACCCAAATCAATCCTTCAGCTTAAACATCTTGAATACCTCAACCTTGAATCAAATAGATTGTCAGGCACAATCAAACTAAGCCCTTTCTGGAGGTTGGAGAGACTCTTTTTTCTTAGTCTATCCAATAACAAGCTATCAATCGCCGACGAAGAAGGTGCTGACGTTTTAAAATCTCTTCCTAACATCTACCAGATACACCTTGCATCCTGCAACCTCACAAAATTTCCGGGTTCACTGAGATATCTAGATAAAGTTTCTGTTCTTGACCTTTCAAGTAATCAAATAAATGATGTTATACCAAGTTGGGTATGGGAGAACTGGAAGGACCAGCTTGAGAGTTTGAACCTCTCGCGCAACATGTTCACGGCTTTGGAGAAGTTTCCTTCTCTTGTTCATATGCCACGCCTAACTGCTCTTGATCTCAGCTTTAATAGGCTTCAAGGCAGCATACCAATACCGGTAACTGCAGTGTCTGGGAATGTATTAGATTATTCAAACAATAACTTCTCTTCCATTCTTCCTGACTTTGGAAGATATATTAGAAGCTTCTACCTCAATTTGTCCAAGAATAAATTAAATGGTTATGTACCATCTTCCATCTGCAGTGCAAGCCATCTCAATATCTTGGACCTGTCTTATAACAATTTTAGTGGATCACTCCCATCATGCCTTATTGGAAGTGGGAAACTAACCGTGTTGAAGTTGAGAGAAAATCAATTCAACGGGACGTTCCCTGAAAATATTAGAGAGGAGTGCAAGTTTCGAACAATAGATTTGAACAGAAATCAAATTGAAGGTGAACTACCAAGAGCATTGTTAAATTGTCAAGACTTAGAGCTTCTTGATATTGGTAACAATCAGGTCCGCGGTTCCTTTCCATCTTGGTTGGACATTCTTCCAAAGCTTCGGGTCCTTGTCTTACGGTCCAACCAGCTCAATGGAACAATAAGGGATCTTGATGGTGACCATGGAACCACCAACCAGTTCCCTAGTTTGCAAATACTCTGTTTGGCTTCCAACAGATTCTATGGACACCTGCCAAAAGGATGGTTTAATAAATTCAAAGCAATGATGGAAAATGTCAACGAGGAGGGACGAGTTTTAGGCTATTACACAAACACAACGCATGGATTTTATCAAGACACTGTTACCATCACACTTAAGGGATCCGACCTTATTTTCACCAAGATTCTAACTACTTTCAAAGCAATCGATTTCTCAAACAACTCATTTGATGGCCATTTTCCAGAGTCAATTGGGAATCTTGTTTCGCTTCACGGGGTTAATATGTCATCCAACAACTTCACGGGACAAATGCCATCTAGCTTCAGTAACTTGTCTCAGCTGGAATCGTTGGACCTCTCTTGGAACCGGATTTCAGGAGAAATCCCGCAAGTGCTGACCTCTCTTACCTCTCTTGCTTGGTTGAATCTTTCATACAACAACTTGGTTGGAAGAATACCGCAGGGTAACCAGTTCTTGTCATTTCCCAATAGTTCATTTGAAGGCAACGTGGGGCTATGTGGAAATCCGCTCTCTAAACAATGTGAGACTACAGATTCAACTGCTTCAAGTGCATTGGCCCCTCCTGAACCTTATAATTTGTGGCAGGATAGACTTGATGCCATCCTTCTCTTCACATTTGTTGGCCTGGGGTTTGGAGTGGGCTTTGCATCGGCAATTACGTTCCGAATGTTTTGCCACATCAAAGGATTGGACTGCAAGCAATGGTAAATCCATGTGCTTTGTGTGCTATACCGCTAAACAACAATATGTATTTTATAGTTGCATTTCTTGAAAAAGAATATATTGTATGTTCATAGTTTGTTCTTGTTAGACGGGACAACTTATTTAATTCTCTTTGTTTGGTAGAAAGTATTTTTTTTAGATAAACAGTACAAAGTACTTGTATGCTTCATTTCATTGTATGGATTGCAAAATTGATGAATCAAATATGTGATGGCATTATGAATAATATGCATTGCATTTTTATTTCATATGGTCGCATATTGTTTTATCATGCTGGAAGGCACTAGTGGTATCGACTAAACATGAAACGAAAAGGGGAGGGTGGTGGTGGTG